GTTTAGCCTATTCTTTTTCAAAGTTGTCTTGGCTCTTCTTGACACTTTATAGAGTCATATTTGGATTTGTTTGTCAAGTTCCACAAAACATCTTATTGGTATTTAGATTGGCCCTGGTTTAAATTTGTTGGATGGAATAATTGTCAACATATTGAATCATCACACCTATACATAAAGGTTTATGTTTTTCAACAAAATTTTATATTTTTTCCATAAATGTTTTATCTTCTGCTATATGTATTCTTATAGGAAACTTAGATTTTGTTGCAATTATAAATGCTATTTTTCCACTTTATGCTTTCTAATTTCTTGTTACTGCTATATGGGTATGCTATTTTTGTATAGTGATCTTATATCCAACAACCTTGTTGAAATTTGTCTGCTGTCATGACTTGTAAATTCTCTTGGATTTTTAAGAGTTAACAATCTTTTGTCCATGGAAGATGAAAATTATTCCAACTGTTATACTATCCTTATGCTAATTTTTCTTGCTTTGCTGCATTTTCTAGGCTGTTCAATACATTATTAAAGAAAAATGCTGATGGATGTGGATGACTTCTGTGACTGGGAATATTTCTGGGGAGGATTTTCATGAGCTTAGTTTTTATTACCATTTATTGTGTTCTTCTCATAGTAATATTACTTTTTTTCTGTTCAAGTATATTGGATTTTCCTGGACTAACAGCAATCATAGATAATTCTGCCCAGGGAGAATGAAAAGTGTGGGCAGTTTGCTCAATATCTTAGTTCAAGAGTGCCCTCTTCTGCTGTAACAGTGAAGTAAAGCTTATTTAATTAATGACACTTTTCTGAGGTGGTGAGGAATGGTGAAGGGTGGGTGGGAGGGGTGTCTAATATTGTCAAACAATCTTAACGGCTCTAGAATTCTTAATTTCCGTGATTGGTTTCTCCCTCTTTTTCTTTACCTTCCAGTTGCCCCACTCCTTCCCAGAATCAGTGCATTCTCCAAACTGCCATTCTCGTTCTAGATTCTTTCTTGGAAAACCATTGTTCAGATTCCTCTGGTCTCAGTTGTGTCCTCTGTAGTTCCTCACCAGGAAAGGATGCTGTCTTCCTGTGGGCAATGTCATCTGTGTTCTATCCCCGCTAAAAACTTACTACTTCTCCTCTCTTCCAGGTAATCCTCTCCTGATTCTGTTCCATCATGGGCTCTGATCTGCCTGTACTGATTCTGGACTATTCTTTTACATGTAAATTGAAATGGAGGATAGTATTCTGTATCTTCCATTATGCCCTACATATGGGCAAGTGTGTGGTTTTATTTGTGTTGCTGTTGACATGTATGGTTTTGGAGGATGTATGTAGTGATTTGAATTTAAGGAAGCAAAGAGTTGAGGAATGCATTACAATCTTGTGACTGTGGATTTGTCTTTGCAATTCTGACTTTTTTCCTCCTTTTATGTTATATATGCTATTAGGTTTATTGACTTAGGATTGTTATATATCATCTTTGTTTCCTTAATCAGTAGATAATGCTCTTATGAATAGTAATTTTTGGTTCAAAGTCTCACATATGATATTACCATAAGGATACAATTTCCTTTTGGTTAATATTTGCTGTATATATTTTTAAACACTTGTACTTTCAAACTTTCATTGCAAATAGGTTTCTTTTAGGTATAAAAGCATGTAGTTGGACATTTAAAAATAGCCTAATGTTCAATTTAAGTCTGAGAAAATATTTTCACTGATAGGCTTACCCTTTTACTTTTATTGTGATTGCTAAGATATTTAGCTTTATTTTCATGATTTTAATTTGTCTTATGAGAAGAAATTATTTTCCCCTTTCCCTTTTATTTTCCTTTCCTGCCTTCTATTTGATCGGTCTTTTTTTTTTTTTTTTGAGTTGGAGTCTCACTGTGTTGCCCAGACTGGAGTGCAGTGGCGTCTCCCGGCCACCGCAGCCTCAACCTGCTGGGCTCCAGCGATCCTTCCGCCTCAGCCTTCCAAGTAGCCGGAATTACAGGCATGCGCTACCACGCCCAGCTGATTTTTTGATTTATTGTAGAGATGAGGTCTCGCTGCCCAGGCGGGTCTCGAACCCGCGGGCTCAGGCAATCCACTCACCTCAGCCTCCCAAAGGCTGATCGGTCTTTTAAAAAATCCAGTTTGCTTGTTTAAAAGTTACACTTCTGGCCGGGCTCGGTAGCTCAGCCTATAATCCCGGCACTGGCGAGGCCGAGGCAAGTAGATTGTCTGAGCCCACAGGTTCGAGACCAGCAATTTGGCGAGACCTCATCTCCACAATAAATCAAAAATTAGCCAGGCGTGGTAGCGCATGCCTGTAATTTTGGCTACTTGGAAGGCTGAGG